TTTTTTGTTTTTTTTTGTTTGCTTTACCTTTTGCCTTTTATTGCGTTAAACCATTATTTTGGTTCCTTGTATCTATGGCTGGCGTGCCCGACTCGATACAAGCGTATGATAAACTTGCTACAAATCTATCGGACCTTGTACTCAAATTATGGATTGATGTGTACAGTGTACACATTAACATTGTTTGTTTGAAAGTCAAAATACCGCCTGGTGAGAGCCACACCGAGTCCAGCACCAGCGCCAATCCGAGGAACATTTTCTTGCGGAGCGGTGTGCAATTGGTGTCGGACCCTCATGTTCTGAACATTTCTGAACAGCCAATTCGTGGGTGGCGATTAGTGCGGCATGGCATGAAGTTTCCAAGCATTCAAAGTAATTAACTTCCAAGTATACCGAAGATGATTATCCATTCATCATGTTGGTTCCACAGATGATAAGATTCACTCTGTCAATGTGTGAAACAGGACTTGTGTTCCATCATCATAGTTAGTATGGTTGAAGTTGACAGGGCAACGCCCCCCCGACATGCAACATTCGTAGTATTGCGCAACGGCAATTCGACACATTATGGCTAAAAGGAACTGTCCAAAATCTGACTCAAGACATGGATTTTGATCTCCCAGAAGGTTAAATGTTTTTATCCATCCATCCATCCATCCATCCATCCATCCATCGAAATCCTTCACATCGCCTCGATGGCTGCCATCGCATCGCCTTGATTGGCTGGGCCCAGGTTTGGAGTTGGTTATCTCACCATCACCTCTTGGCAGCTCTCGTTCCGGCGCACAGAATCGGCGTCGGGGAGAATCGAGGGCCCCTTAAGCAGAGGCAGTTTGACCACCAGGTTTTGGACCCGAGAAGGAGGCTCACATGGCTGTTGGTTCCTTGGTTGGGGCAATGGGCTTCACACGTGGACACGTGCGAAGTCCATAGTACTGTGTGTCATCCTATTGCTGGTGTGTCGGGACTGATAGCTTCCTGCTACCATCATACTGGTATTGCCACAAGAGCCGCATGTCTATGTCCATGGCCTGCCCAGTAGGGCCCAAGGGTTTTTGTGCTTTCCGCTCGAGGTTGATCCTCTTGGGAGTTTGGGCGGTGCTCTTCTACGTGTCTCTTGGCCGCGATTCCGGGCGAGAAAGAAGACCTGAGTGCCCTCCAACAACCAATCCGGACTCCAAGTACCTCCTCAAAAGGTATTTGGACCCTCCAAACCCACCCCAACCACCTTCAAAGAGGGTACTTGAGCCCTAGGGCGTATATAAACCCTACAGATACCCTAAGTTCATATAGAGTTTTCAGGATGTAGTCCAAAAGCTTTCGTTGTGTCTCTTTTGGCCCAAATATGACCTGGAAAGGGCCTCGGCAACGTCTTGTTAGGGGGGTCCATGGTAGCTTAAGTTGGTGAGGTTCAACCGGGGACATGGGATGCTAACTGTAGAGAAAGGTATATTATACCTACTAAGTTGCCTTTGATTTAGGGATTGTATAGGTACCTTGATACATCTTGATACCATTTGTACCGTATTGGAGCTGCTAAGTTGGTTGCATCATTTGTCGAAATGAGTTCAGGAGGAAGTGACCCAAAAGACATGGTGCCCTGAAAATTGCTTCTGATTTTGGCACTTGCTTCGTGAAGGTTTTGCTTTGAGGATTTGAGACCTCAATCCATCGTTTGATTTTGGATCATCCTCTGGGTTGAGACCATGTTTTTGCTTTGATTCAACCTTTAAAAACTTGCAACATATAATATATTGCAACCCTTGTCATCCAGTATACTCATGTATACTCAGTAGACCTCCTGTATATGCTTCCACAATGACTGATTTTGACCTCTGTTTCGTTTCGGACGACTGGATGGCCGTCCAGGTACGCGGTCTATGGAAAGTTTGCCCGTCGGTCCTCCTTGCTGCGGCAGGCGATGTCGTGTTGTTGCGATGTTTTGCGCTTTTTGGATGCCCTTTGTTACTAGTAGCTTTTGAGACGACTCACGGGCAAAGCGAGAAGCGAAGAAAGTTCGTCACTCGCACCGTTAAGCATCAGGTCTTAGCTTGTTTCAGGGCTCGGGGATGAAGCGTGTGTAGATGAACATCAAACATCATCAAAAAGCTGGTGTTTTGGAGTCCTAAAATATGGCGGGAGATGGGTGTCACTCGAGTTGGCCAGCATCTCCACATCGAGTCACCGTTCATGGTCATGGATCCACTTTATGTTCCAACAACGTTCTCCGAGAAGAGCAGCAAAACACAATTCACATGAGAGAGAGAGAGATAATGTTAGATGGCCAGCATCACACAACCCAAATGATCAGATTTGACCAGACTTGATCGCCCCAGTCTCCTCGAGACCACCAATCTCACTGGGTGGCGCAGGATCGCTTGGCTGCCTTGAATAGCGTGGCCACGGAGGTGTGCCACCGGGTGAATACGTGGCACCGATCTGATATGATTTGAAGTGACACATAGACATGTTTTCCTACACAAACTCAATTCCGGCAAAGGGAATAGGCGGTGGGGTGGTGCAGCTGGATGTGTCTCTTTTCCTCATTTTGGGGAGAAAGTGGGGCAAGGCAGTGTTCTGATTTAGGTTTGTTTTGTGACCTTTGCTTTTTGGAGGGTGCATCGTGAGATTCCAGTTGAATATGGGTCGAAAGATCAATCCCTCTTCCGAACAATGAGACGATGAGATTTGATTCGGAAAAGGCTCATTTGGGGTTTTATACCTTGTTGCGTTCGTAGCTTCTATAGCTATACTATAGTAGTAGTAGTAGTAGTAGTAGTAGTAGTAGTAGTAGTCGTAGTCGTAGTCGTAGTCGTAGTCGGAGTCGGAGTCGGAGTCGTAGTAGGTAGTAGGTAGTAGGTAGTAGATAGTATAGATAGTAGATAGTATAGATAGTAGATAGTATAGATAGTAGATAGTATAGATAGTAGATCGTAGATCGTAGATCGTAGTAGTAGTAGTAGTAGTAGTAGTAGTAGTAGTAGTAGTAGTAGT